ACCCACCCCCCCCCAACACACACACACCATCCAGGCTGCCTGATGAGGCGGAGCTGCGGGAGGCGGAGGAGGAGGCGCTGGCTGACCTGGACCCGGCCACGCAGCGGAGGGTCGCGGCTGGCTTCAGGTGAGCCTGCGGCCACAGCAGCGCGGCGGCCGCAGCGGAGCGGCGGCGGGGTTTGGGGACGCACGCTTGGCAAGGGGTTGGCAGCTGTCGCCGAGATGGCCTTGTTGCGCCGGCGGGGCCGTCGTTTTGCTGAGTGGAACTGCTTGCACAATTCTCATGCCCCCACACCCCAGGGACCTGGCGGAAAGCTTCAAGTGAGTGGGCGCATGGGGGTGCGGCGAGGGTTTGGAGCTCCTAATGAAGGGTTCGCATCGGGGCATATAAGGCCCAACACCCAGCCCTGAATGAACGCACTAGAGGCCAATGCACGGTGTCCCGCCACATGCGAAAGGCTCGATTTGAGCAGCACCCGGCACCACAACACCCACCTCACCCGCCACCCCGCATCACTATCGTAGGGAGTACATGCGGGAGAAGCTGGAGGCAGCCGCAGCGGCTGGCACCGCGGACACCTTTGTGGTGACGGAGGGGATGGTGGCCGAGTTCAAGGCGACGTACGGCGCCCGCTTGCAGCGCGACCAGGCAAGCGGCGGGGCGTAGGCCGGCGCGCGCCACCCAGGGCCGGGGATGCGCGGCGGAAGGGGCGGTCGGCGGCGCGCGCACGGCTGCGGATATGGGAGACAGCCTTGCTGCGTGCGTTTGATTGGCAGGCCAAAATGACAAGCCCCCGGCGCCGGGCAAGTCGCAGCCGCCTTGTTGTGTGGTGGGCCCGCGCGTTGTGTATATTACAAAAGAATGAGTCATACTGTGTGTTTATTTTCGCTCGTTAGCGGGTCACACATGAACAAGTAAATGTCAACACGTGTGAAGCTGTGCATACAAAAGCAATCTGATACTGTCAAGTGAGGCAAGGAAGGGGGCCCAGCACACTGCGACCCCTCAGGACTCCAGGAGTTGCAGAGACTCCACCTATCTAAAGGCCACAGCACATGCATGTTTGCCAAGCGACAGCCAGCTGCTCGATGTGCGCATTTGTTTCGCAAACAACAAAGAAGTGGCTGCACAACAGCAGCCTTGCCGCGCGCGACGCAACGGCAGCAGTGCAGGTGCCCACGCCGCCGCCGCCGCCCGCCTACGCCACCGCCGGTGCGCCGCCCAAGAACTCGCGCGTGAAGTTGCGTGCAAGGACGTCCCGCGGGCGGCAGTCCCTGCGGAAGTCGACGTACGTCTTCGCAGGCCGCAGGTCGCAGCACTCAATCTCATCCAGCCGCACCCGCCACTCGCCCGTCCCGGCCTTCGCCGCCGCCGCCACCGACGACGCCGCTGCGTCCCCCCAGCTCTGCCGCGGCGGCAGCCCCGACCCCCCGCCCGCCGCGCCCGGGGCCGCCCCCTGGCCCGGGGCTGCGCCGCCGGCGCCGCCCGCCAGCAGCTGCGCCTGTTCCCACTCGTATGCGACGCGCACCCCCGGGTCCACCACCACGCGCCCCCTGCCTAGGCGATGCAGGTCATCACACAGCAGGCTGCACTCCGACGCGCGGCACTCGCCGGCCAGCGCCCCCCGGAACCGCAGCCCCGCGCGCAGCGGCGCGGCGCCGAGGGCCGCGAGGCCGTTCCAGCAGCAGGCGGCCGGGAAGGGCAGGCCCGCGACGAGGCGGGCGCGGGAGGGGGCGTGGGACACGAAGGGCGGCAGGTTGCTGAAGCGGGCGCCGGACACGTCGCGCGCGACCCACTGCGATGTAAGACAGGGTGGGGCGGCGGCAGGGCGCGGCGGTTGGCACCAGTAAGTTGAGAGGCGGCGAAGATTCCCATGTGTGCATCGGCGGGGCCCTCCATTTGATGTGATGTCGGGCACAGGTTGCAAGGTGTGGGGGGAGGGTAGCCAGCATCTGATGTTACCCGCCCCTTCTGCGAGCCGGGCGTACCTTGTCGTAGAACCGCAGCTGTGCCTCCGCACCGCCGGGGTGTGACTGCTGCTCCTCCTCCTGCTGCCCCTGCTGCTGCAGCAGCCGCTGCTGCATTCGCTGCTGCAGTTGCTGCTGCTGCTGCTCCTCGCCTCCCTGATCCAGCGCCTCCGCCGCCTGCAGCTGCCACGCCTGCTGCCTGCTCAGCCGCCGCGCGCCCCGCCGCCTGGCGGCCGTCGCTGCCAAGCTGCCGCCGCCATCCTGCCCCTCCTGCCCGTCCTCAATCTGTCGCAGCAGCATTACGTCATCCATATCCTCCTCCCCTCCTCGCCCACCGCTTCCCCCGCTGCCGGTGCGGCCGCCGGCCCCCTCCCCGGCCCCCGCCGCCTGCTGCCACGACCCAGTGTAGAAGTCGAGGCCGCACGCCAGGTCAGCGCCGTGCGCCAGCAGCCGCAGCACGTCCTCTGCGCAGAAGAAGACGTCGTTCGCAAACACGACCGCGTCCGGCCGCCACGGCCCCGCGTCCGTCGCCGCCGACGTCGCAGCTGACGGCAGCCGCAGTGCGCCCCCGGCGGCCGCGCCAGCCGTCGAGGGGGCAGCCGCCTCGCCTGCTGCGCCCGACAGGAACGGTTCAAGCGCCGCGTTGCGGAGCGCGGCTAGGTAGGCGACGCGGCCGCCTTCCTTCCGCACGCGCGGTGCGAGCGCGCCGCCCAGGGTGACGTTGTGCGGGACGCCGAGCGGCAGCAGCAGCATGCGCAGCAGGCTCAGCCACTGGCGCGAGAGGTCGTTGCTGCCGCTCTCGTATATTGAGACCGCCAGGCGGCCGGGCGGCAGCAGCAAGGCGAGGCGCAGCACCTGGGCTATCAGGTTGGGCGCGAGGCCGCCAGAGTTGTGGAGGATCGCGGCAAACAGCACCCGCTTTGACGGGACGCGGTCCGCCGTGTTGCCGCCGGCGCCGCCGCGCGTGTGCGGCGTGGTGTTGTTGACCCCCAAGGCAGCGGCGGGCAGCGAGGGGTCGGGTGTGCAGGCGAGCACATGACCGTCGCCGTTCACATGGGCCAGCGC